GCTGTCCCTCTTACACTCCCGTCTCCCCCCCCCCCCGCCCCGCCCTTGTTACCACCACATCGACCCGGGACGCTCGAGCACGCCCTCCTTCCTTCCCAACGTCCCCCGTCGCGTCATCAACTACTCCCCCGCTCACGATACCCACGACTCACCGCCGCAACCCCGCCGAACGCGCCCCCGCCGCCCATGGTGACGAGCAGCAAGTCTTGCTCGCTCACGCCGGCGCCCGCCAGGGTGGTGGTGTCCGCGAGAGGCCGGCCGTTGAAGGTCACCTGGGCGCCAGGCCCCACGGATAGCTCGGTGGAGACGAGGGACTTGATGGTGGAGACGGCGGTGTCGCCGGAAACCTGAAAATAGGGAAAGGGGGGGGGAGGGCACGCGTTTTTGTGGGTGGCCGGAATCGGTTATGGAGGTCGCCCTTACGTGCGCTGGGGAGCCGAAGAAGGAGTCGAAGTCGCCGCCTTCTGCTGCAGAAAATAGCTTAAAATTGCCAGACAGAGCTAGGGACTACAAAAGGGGAAATCTCTCAGGAAATCTCCCTTGACGGCTCTCTTCTCTCTCCTGATGTAACGCATCTTGTTCGGTGTTCCATGGCCGATTCCCCTCCACCTAGCCTGCGGCAGAGGCTAAACAATAATGCCCGTTGTTCCGCGCCTAAGACAGCAGTTGTTTGGAAGACTGCTCCACCCGGAGACACAGCAGCAGCGAACAACCAACACCTGAATAACCCATCAGGGTTCAGGCCCTGAACCCTGATGGGTTATTGTTCAGGGACGAATTTGTTCTCGCACAGCAGTTTGACTCCAACGAAGCAAAGGTGCAACCAACCAACATACGCCCCGTGAATGACTGACCTCAATTTGAGAAGACTTTCCCTCCTCGGTGGCTACGGTGACCTTCATCCTCGTCGTCTGGTTCACGGCGATGGAGTGCTTCTCTTGCCGGCTGCTGTAAAAGCGGCGGTGTGTGTATGAACACACGATACGGTTTACGGTTTACACACTTGTGTTTGGACTAACAACTTCAGAGGGATCCCAGGACAAGGACAGAGAGAGAGAGAGAGAGAGAGAGAGAGAGAGAGAGGCAGTGAGGGAAGGAGAGAGCGGAGAGCGCGAAGGGCGTAGTTTGGAGCAACTGACACGCGCGGGTGCCTGTGTGCCTGTGTTCCCTGCCTGTGTTCGCCAAAGCTTAAGCTTGTGTGCATCTCCGGAGTTCGCCGCGAAAATGCGGTGCAATGAAAAACTGTTCAGGAGTAAGGACCCACCAATGATTCGCGTCGCCTCTCCAAATGCCTCACGTGCACCCTGCTCTTGCACGAGCCAGGAGCTGACTTGGAGCGACACACGCAGTGCAGTTGCTTATAGAATTCGACAAGAGAAGGATGGCTAGCAAGGCAGACGGACGAGTTCTTCTCCCCAGCGATGTGAGCCGAACGCAAGTTCCTGCGAACAAGTTTACCCTTGTTTTCCCAGCAGCAAATTTGTGTATTGCGCTTCCCGGATGGTTGCCGAGTGTTGTTCTCAAGAACAAATCGGAAGCACCACCGGCGTTAGACTTCCTGCGTAGAGGCAAGCTGAATAAGATTAGGGTGCATGGGAGATCTGCTGGGTTGCAAGAGAGGATCGAAAAGTACGGCGGAGTGCTCTTTCCGCAGCCGCTCCTTGCGCGGATTTGTGTACACTGCTGTAATGCCTGTCCAAGTTTTCATGTCAGCGACTCGCTCTCTCGATTTTAGGGCGGACCCCTGTGAACGGAGGTACACTGCTGTAGTACCTGGTAGTGCTGTTCTCTACTGCCACATTTTCATACCGAAGTGGCTCGCAACGGTCTGTAGGTAGCTAGATGCCTTTCCAGTTTGTGGGGGTCTGGCAAACTGGCAAGCAATTGCAAACAGTAGATAGCCTCCCGCTGCCCGTGGATATCTATTTAGCCGCATTTTGGAGTACGGGTGACTTCAATTACTAACTTCAATCTTCAACGAATGGCCAGCGAGATAACGAGATAACACAACTCGTGTGACCACCGTTAGAATTTGCGGGGATCCAACCGTCGAGAGATGCAAGGTTGTAGGTAGGAGTCATGGGCCTGCGAACAAGAAAAGACAACATTTCGTGACAGTCGAATCCTGCCCAAAACCTGGGCGGAAGAGGACGGGACGGGGGCTGTCCAAAAGGTTTGTCTCTTTTCTCTTTGGACGGTCCAAATGTGACAAAAAAAGGCCTACACGAGGAGTGATTCTTTGGTCAGTTGAATTTGTGGAACCAAAAAAATGCGTGACAAGTGGCCTGATGCCGGTCACGGGAAAGATGTGGCGGATCCCGGCGTCATCGTCGATGATACCGCACTCGGCGGTGGCGTTTTCGCGGCGGGTCCACTCGTGCGCGAGGAGGTCGTCCCCGCTGGTGCGACTCCAGACACTACCTGCCGGGTGTCGACTGCCCCGTGCGAGAATACTCTACGCGTCGCGCCTCGTGCCCCGGTGGCGACATACTACCCGAGATGCCTCGTGATCCGCGTCGTGGAGGGGGGGCCTCTAGTAAAATCGCAATCAAAGAGACAGCGTTGTGTGCCAACGCAATATGCGTTGATTGCGATTACAAGGGGTTCTTCCTCTACGACGCGGAGCACCAGGTCTCTCGCGTAGCGTGCCATCACCGGGGCCCGAGGCGCCAGCAAGGAGGCGCGACGGGTAGAGTACTCTGGCACTAGGCGGTCGACACCTGGCAGCAGTGTCTGGGATCGCACCGGCGGGCACGACCTCCTCGCGCACGAGTGGACACGCTGCGAAAACGGCACCGCCCGGGACGGAATTATCGACGACAACGCCGGGATCCGTTACGTATTTTCCGTGAATGTCTTCACACGCCCACGTTTTACGCAATACATTTTTTTACTGTCCCTTATGGGTCCATTTTTTCGCACAACGAAAGATCTTCGTGCGTACACAGTCTTTTTTTGTCATATTTGGACCGTCCAAAGAGAAAAGAGACAGCCCTTTTGGACAGCCCCCTCCTGTCTTTTTTCTTCTGGAGCGGCTCACGTGTTGACGAGGAGGACGCGGCAGTTGCACTGGTGTCTCGGGCGAGTTACCAACGGCGCGGCGCTCGAGCGGGTGCTTGGTGAGGGTGTGTGGAAGAAGAATAAGAGGAGCTGGACCCACCCACTCCTGCGTCTGCCTACACATCACATGTCCGAACCAAGCCGCCGCACGTCCAGCGTCAATGAGACCACGAAAAACAAAAAAGGGTGTTGGTGTGGAAAATAGCTGGAGTTGAGAGAGAGAGAGAGAGAGAGAGAGAGAGAGAGAGAGAGAGAGAGAGAGAGATGTCCGTGAAACTCCAGCATTAGTGTAACATCATGTGCTACCCTGCTGTTGCTTGCCAGCGCACACCCACCGTTTGGCCCCATTCCCCTCGTCTCCTTGGTACCTTTTCTGCAAGGCGAGGAAAGGCGTCCTTGTTTCTAAATTATTAGCGTTTAGGCACGTTTCATAGCCGCGACGCTCAACTGAATGAACCGGAAGCCCTACCCGAAAACATGCATGCCACTGATATGTGCGTGTTCCTTGTCATGGCCTACGCCGTGCGTGCCTTCATTATTGGCGCGCCCCGGTCACTTGCAGGTGGAGCCTGTGGAGTACCGCATCAAGCTCACACCGGACATGCAGAAATTCACGTGCCGCGGAGAGCAAGAAGTCGATGTGGAGGTAATATAATAGTGTGTCTTTGAATGTATTTATATCAAGCTATTTCGTGTTTTCTTTGTCGTTATTAGAGTAGAGTCGGCGGGGGTCTCCGAATAAGTCGGGTGGTGAGGCAGCTGATAGTGACCGCCTTTTGTGGGGCAGCCGCCTTATTCAGCGTGTGGAACAACTCGACGCGCTTCGATCGATGGCCACAGCACGTCTTGCTGCTTAGGGTGCGGCTTGGGGTAGAGACAGCAGAGTGTGCGAGGCCCCCCAGAAACCGCGGCCCACACGGCCGAAGAATGCGCATCACACGTTTCTTGTTGTGTACCCCTCCCAAAACGTTCACGACGGAAAGCAGCAGCAGAGGAAGGATCAGGCGAAGACAACCGCGGGTTTCGCGAGGTTGGATTTCACAGACATTCGCGGCATAGTACGAGTATGACGGGCTGCGTCTACTGCACTTTGACACCTGCGGACGGCGAAAGTTGTCGCTGCCTTTCTTCTTTTTTTATTCGTGGTGTGCTTTTGTTGCGCGTCCTGCTGTTCTTGTTCTTGTTGCCGTTGGTGCTGCCTTGTCGATTGAGGCCCATGGTGGGACAACAGATATTTACCACATACCCCGCCCCCATTCAATATCCCCCCAAAGATATGTGGAATGCTACTAGCATGGCGACACAGCTTTTTAACTCAGAAAGCATGATTATCCCCCACCCACCCACCCACCCACCACCGGAATACATAGTCTATCGATCATGGCATACGTTTACATGATTATCCCCCCCCGCCCCCCCCCGGCAGATCCTGGAGGAAACCAGTAGCGTGTCCCTCCACAGCAAGGAGATCTACATCATGGAGGCGTCGTTCGTGCCTATCCCCGAAGGGGGCGAGGGGGCTGCGGCGGCAGAACAGGGAAAGCCCGTGGGGGCGTCGGCCATCTCTTTCGACCTCAAGCTGTGCACGGCCACCTTTACGTTTCCCGAGCCTCTCGCCAAGGGGAAGGGCACCCTCAAGCTCTCCTTCCAGTGCGACATCAATAACCAGGTCCTGTTCATTGTTTTGCGTGCTTTCGCGGACGTAGTTTGGGCTGGGGGGGGGGCACGGGCGTGGGGGGGGGGGGCAGCCCTTCTTTTTTCCGGGAAAAAAAGTTTTCCCCGCCAAGGGTTGGTTGGCGGGTTAATTTGGGGGGGTTTGCCCCTTCATGGGTTTGTGTGGGAGGGGCCCCCTATTTTTACCCAACGTTTGATTTCTTTTTGGGGGGGACCAAAAAGGGGAAAGGGGGGTTTTTTTCCCCGAAATTGGGTTGGACCCCCCCATT